CTTGATGCCAAGACCAGCCAGTCAGCTATTTCATCTAACTTTTGATCGCCCGGGAAACATTTTACCCAACATTCCTCTGCCCACCGATATCAGCCTCAACTATAATCCAGAAAAATAGAATTGATAAATCACGATTAGATCCTTGAATTGGACAAAATGTAAGACAAACTACTATACTATGACTTTTTTCTTTTTTTGCCTTACTATACATGACTTTTGACTTTTTTATATTTACTTTTTTTGACTATTTTGCTTACTATACTATGACTTTTTTTTTACTTTTTGCCTACTATACTATGACTTTATGCCTTCTATACATGACCTTTTTATTTTTGACTTACTATACCTTTTTGACTTTTTTTGCCTACTATACATATTTGACTCAATTACTATGTTTTTTTTACTTTTATTGCACTTCAGATTTTGCCCTCATTACTATGACTTTTTTCCTTTATTTGCCTTACTATATCACTATGACTTTTTTTTTGACTTTTTCTTATATTTGACTTTTGTTTTTGCCATACTATACATATGACTTTTTTTTGGAACTTTTTAATGCCTTAATATACATATTGGCTTATATATTTTATTACTTTTTTGCCTCACATACTATGACTTTTTATTGCCTTACTTACTGATGACTTATTTTTGACTTTTTTGCCTTACCTATACTATGACTTTTTTTTTACTTTTTGCCTCTACTATACCATGACTTTTTATGCCTTACTATACTATGACTTTTTTTTGATTTTTTTACTTTTCTTTGCCTACTAATAGCTATGACTTTTTTTACTTTTTATTCTGCCTCACTATACTATGACTTCTTTTTGCCTTTACTATACTATGAACTTTTTTTGCCTAATACTATGATTTCTAATGACTTTTTTTGCACCTATACTATACTATGACTTTTTTGTTTGCCTTATAACCTATTTTTTGGCCTTACTATACTATGACTGTCTTTTTTGCCTTACTATACTATGACTTTCTTTACTTTGCTCACTACTATCTTTATCGTTACTTACTGACTTTTTTGCCTTCATATAGCCTTTTTTGCCATAACTTATATGAACTTTTTGTGATTTGCCTACTACTATACTTTTTGCCCTTACTATACTAATGACTTTATGTACTATACTATCTTTTCTTATTACTCTTTTTGACTGCCCTTTAACTGATTTTTACTTTATGCTTACGTTATATGACTTTTTTGACTTTTTTGCCATACTATACTATGACTTTTTTTGACTTTTTTGCCTTACTATACTATGAATTTTTTTTCACTTTTTTGCCTTGACTATTACTATGGACTTTTTTTTTTACTTTTTTTTTGACTTTTTATGCTTTGACTTTTTTCCTTACTATACTATGACTTTTTTTTTGGCCTTACTATACTATGACTTTTTTTGTGCCATAACTATACTATGACTTTTTCTGTTGACTTTTTTGCCTTACTATACTAATGACTTTTTTTTGCCTTAACTATACTATGACTTTTTTTTTTGACTTTTTTGCCTTACATAAACTATACTTTTTTTTTTTAACTTTTTTTGCCTTACTATACTATGACTTTTTGCCTTACTATACTGGACTTTTTTTTGACTTTTTGCCTTACTATACTAATGACTTTTTTTTTTTACTTTTTTTTGCCATACTAATACTATGACTTTTTTGCCTTTACTATTACTATGACTTTTTTTTGCCATACTATACTATGACTTTTTTTTTTACTTTTTTGTCCTTACTATACTATGACTTTTTTTTTTACTTTTTTTGCCTTACTTATAACCATGACTTTTTTGCCTTTACTATACTTATGACTTTTTTGACTTTTTTGCCTTACTAGTACTATGACTTTTTTTTTGGACTTTTTTTGCCTTACTATACTATCGACTTTTTTTACCTTTTTGCCTGACTTTTTTTTTTGAACTTTTTTTGCCATACTATACTATGAACTTTTTACTTTTTATGCTTCACGTATACTTATGAACTTTTTGTTGCCGGTGTACTATACATGACTGTTTTTTGCCTATATACTATGATTTTTTGTTGACTTTTTTGCCTTGACATATACTGTGATTGTGTGTTTGCCTTACTATACTGATGACTTTTTTTTTTGACTTTTTTGCCTTACTTAACTATGGACTTTTTTTGGCCATACTATTACTATGACTTTGTTGACTTTTTTTGCTCTTACTATACTATTGCGACTTTTTTTGCCATACTATATCTAATTGACTTTTTTTTTGAACTTTTTTGCCATACTATACTATGACTTATTATTTTGCCTTACTATACTATGACTTTTTTTTTGAGCTTTTTTGCCTTCTATATACCTAATACTTTTTTTTTTTTACTTATTTTTTGCCTTACTATACCATGACTTTTTGCCTTTACTAGTCTATGACTTTTTGACTTTTGCTTACTATAACTTATGACTTTTTTTTGGAACTTTTTTGCCTTAACTATTACTATGACTATTTTTTTTGACTTTTTTTGCCTGACTTTTTTTTTTTGACTTTTTTTGCCATACTATAAACTATGACTTTTTTTGACTTTTTAATGCCTTACATACTATGACTTTTTTTGCCTTACTATAGGCTACTGACTTTTTTTGCCATACTTCAACTATGACTTTTTGTTTGACTTTTTTGCCTTACTAATACTATGACTTTTTGTTGACTTTTTTTGCCATACAATCTATGACTTTTTTGAACTTTTTTTTGCCTTACGTATACTATGACTTTTTTTTGACTTTTTTTGCCTTACTATTACTAGTTGTTTTTTTCTTTTTTTTTGCCGTTAATATACTATGACTTTTTTGACTTTGTTGGCCTTACCTATCTTATGGACTTTTTTTGACTTTTTTGCCTTACTTAACTAATCGACGTTTTTTTTTTTACTTTTTTTGCCTGACTTTTTTTTTTGACTTTTTTTCGCCATACTATACTATGACTTTTTTGACTTTTTATGCCTTTACTATAAGCTATGACTTTTTTGCCCTTACTATACTATGAACTTTTTAATGCCCTATATAGCTATGACTTTTTTTTGCCTTTACTATACTATGGACTTTTTGCCATACTATAAGACTATGACTTTTGTTGACTTTTTTGCCTTTACCTATACTATGACTCTTTTTGACCTTTTTTTGCCTTATCTATACTATGACTTTTTTTTGACTTTTTTGCCACATACTATAACTATTGACTTTTTTTGACTTTTGCCTTACAATATATCTATGAATTTTTCCTTTTTCTTTGCCTTATATACTATGCACTATATTTTTTGCTTTTTTTTGTTTGTTTTTTTTTTGACTTTTTGCCTTACTATACTATGACTTTTTTGCCTTACTATACTTATGACTTTTTATGCAATTACTATTAGTATGACTTTTTTTGCCTTACTTACTATACTTTTTTGCCATACTAATTACTATGACTTTTTGTTTTGACTTTTTTTTTTTGCAACCTTTACTATACTATGACCTTTTTGTTGACTTTTTTTGGCCTTACTATACTATGACTTTTCGACAATACTATACTATCGACTTTTTTTGTTGACCTTTTTTGCGCCTTACTATGAGCTATTGATTTTTTTTTTGACTTTTTTGCCTTACTATACTATGACTTTTTTTTTTGAACTTTTTTGCCTTACTATACTATTGACTTTTTTGACTTTTTATGGCTCTTACTATACTAGACTTTTTTGCCATAACTATACTATGACATTTTTTGCTTACTATACTATGATTTTTTTTTTGGACTTTTTGCCATTTACTTATACTATGACTTTTTTTTTAAACTTTTTTTGCCTTACTAACTATGACTTTTTTGACTTTTTTGCCTTACTATACTATGAATTTTTTTATCACTTTTTTTGCCTTACTTACTATGACTTTCTTTTTGACTTTTATTTTTTGACTTTTTTGCCTTACTATACTAATGACTTTTTTGCCTTACTATACTATGACTTTTTAATGCCCTACTATAGTATGAACTTTTTTTGCCTTACTATAACTATGACTTTTTTTTGCCATACTATACTATGACTTTTTTTGACTTTTTTGCCTACTATTAGCTATGACTTTTTGTTGGACTTTTTTTGCCTTACTATACTATGACTTTTTTTGACATCACTATACTATGGAACTTTGTTGACTTTTTGCCTTACTATTACTATGACTTTTTTGACTTTTTATGCCTTACTATACTAGAACTTATTTTCCCATACTATAAACTATGACTTTTTTATGCCTTACATATAGACTATGACTTTTTTTTTGACTTTTTCTGCCTTACTATACTATGACTTTTTTTTAACTTTTTTTTGCCTTACTATACTTATGATTTTTGACTTTTTTTTGCCATACTAATACTATGACTTTTTTTGACTTTTTTGCCTTACTATACTATGAATTTTTTTCACTTTTTTTTTGCCTTTTTTAAACTTACTATGACTTTGTTTTTTGCCGTTACTATACTATGACTTCTGCTTTTGACTTTTTTTTTTACTATTTTTTTGCCTTACTATACTAAATTGACTTTTTTTTTTATTATTTTTTTTTGCCTTACTATACTATGACTTTTTTGCCTTACTCAACTAGACTTGATTTTTTTTACTTTTTGCCTTAACCTATACTATGACTTTTTTTTGCCTTACTATTACTATGACTTTTTTTTTAACTTTTTTTGCTCTTTACTTAATACTGACCTTTTTTGCCTTACTATACTATGACTTTTTTTTTACTTTTTTGCCTCAATATCTATGACTTTTGACTTTTTTGCCTTACTTATACTATGACTTTTTTGACTTACTGTACTGACTTTATTTTTTACTTTTTGCCATACTATACTATGTTTTAATGAATTTTTATGCCTTTTAAGCAGCAAATTTTTCTGAAATTTTTGACGCCTTACTTCCACAATGTTTTTATGACTGAGTATATAATTTTTTTTGCACCACTGAAATTACCACTCTTTGACACACTTGTAGCTCAGTTTTTTATTAGTTGTATATAATGTATATACAGTATATATTGTCATTTCAGTACCATTTAACAGCATTAAAATATATTTCCATTGTTACTTCATACAATTCAGTGCTGTCTCATTTAAAAACACAGATGTGACTGTTAGTGACACAATAATTCTTTCTTAATCATACAAAATAAACAAAATTCTTCCACCTCCTCATTCATTTCATATGTACAGAGCCTTCATGCAGGCATCCCAACATTACAACTTTACAGGTGCAGCTTTTGACCCCGCCCACATCAGGTGAAATCAGAGTAAGACATCACATGAGCTGGTTACAGTGAGTACGTTCACATGCACCAACGTATCCAAGATAGTTTTCATCTGATGGTATTCTCACAATGTTCATAAAGAACATTAGTTTTCTTATTCTGTGCAGATACATCTGACAACAACCACACAAGAAACAGGTTAGTGATCAAATTTCTCCCAATTTTTTCTCCATACCTGTGAACCTTTGTGAATTCAAAATTACTATTTCCTCAAAATATTTAAAATCTCCAATTTTTTTAACATTGGCCCTATTAGTCCATCATATATAAAATTAACCAGGAAGCAGTATTTTGTAGTGTTTCCAACTTGTCACTTTCTCTCTCCTGGAAACAGACACTTTCATGAGATATATATCAGGTTGTTTTTTTGTTTTTTTTATCTTCTGGCACTTCTCAAGGGAGATTTTCCAAAGGCAGTAATTCACCAAACAAATATCCTTGTATTTATATATTTCTAATCCACTTTAAATTATATTTGTCATCTGAATTTCTGATTTCAAGTGCTGATGTTCCACTTAGTGTAGGAAGATGCTGCTCTACTGTGTAGTCAACTATTTTGACTTACAGAAGTTAGTTCAGGTCGGTCTCAGTCAGCACATGTAATGGTGTTGACACCCTCAGGATACTCGTGGTGCATGTGAACATACAGGTCCATGAAGATTCGTCCCACATGTTGGTTTGTGACCCTTACAGGTCGTCTGCTCGCGGCCAGGCGAGTTTACAGTCTGTGGTTTTGGTCCCGGTGGTTCACACTGTGGACGGTTTCATCAGCGCCTGCTCCCCGAACAGCTGCTTAAAGTGGACCACATGCTCCTCACAGTGCTCTCCTGGACACACACACACACACACACACATATATATATAAAAAGACATACAGTACTTTATATTATTATAAATTGTGTGTGTGTGTGTGTGTGTGTGTTCTCACCAGGATTAAAGCCAGGGCTTCCTCTCAGCCGTTGGTTTCTCTGCTGGAACGACCTGAACACGGTGTAGAACAACATCTGGTCTCCGGTTTGCCGCGCTGCGTCCAGAAACTTCCTCGCCGACACGTTGTCATGTCCGCCTGCCCGGAGGGAAGCGGTTTAATTCACTTTGACCTCTGAAGTTCGGCTGAAGTGAATATGAAGCTTTGCACTAAAACATTTATAATTCTGGGAGATTAGTGTAAATCAGACTGGTGAATCCTGATGTGAGCTTGAATGTTTACAGGAAATGACGACTGGATTAAATATGGACAGGAGGAATAATTACAGTGACCATATATCTCATGTCAATATAGTATTATAATAACGTTAGTTTGTCTTTTTATACAAGAGCCAAACCTTAGTGCATCTGATAAATTAACACTTAAATTACAAAGCAGCAATTTAATCAAGACAATTAAATAACTTGTGATTCTTCTTCAACACTGACAATAATTCACAGTTCGACTGCAGGTTTGTTGCACTTTTGTCTTGCTTTCATTTTTTCCTGGCAGATGAATCAACGCACCGACACTGCGGATGAATCTGAGCGCGCCCAGAACCTGCTGCTTGGACAACAGAACCTCAACGATCTCGTCATTGGCCGTGGACAGACGCTGAAAACACACAAACAAAAGATGAATTGAAATTACAATAATCTATTTTGTTTATTTGGCGCCACAATCTGCAATCTGTGTTCTTATGTTTGATACCTTCAGCATGTCCAGTGACAGCTGATGTGCAGGAGGGTATGTACTCTCCAGAGACAGAAGCAAACACGCCTGAAACCAAGGAAACTGAAGACAATTAAAACATAACGAGCAACAGAAGGAACCACATGTAAATACAGTTGAGTGTGAGGAGTTACACATCTTGGACTGGCATCAGATTTATGTCCCAACAGTTCAATGGTATTATGGAAACCAGACAGTTCAACAGTAATGTTAAGTTAGCTGTTGACAGGTTCTCATTTGTTATGATGGAGTCTAATGTCACGTGAGACTCACATTAGATCATTCAGACTAGAGTTCATACTCGACACTGGGTTGGGACGAGTTTCATGACTTCTTATACTCAATAATAATAATCAATAATCAAAAGTAATGTAATTAAGTATTCTAATTTTAATATAGTTTGAGCAGGATTTGGTTTCAGATTCTTAAATGTGAAAATCAGCTGGTTTTCTTTTCATTGTATTTTTCATTTTATTTTTTCATGTATATTTTGACATTTTATAAGCTAATATAAAGGGGTTCCACAGCATTTTAGTATTCCACTTCAATAAAGACTTGGCGTCTCTAATAAAGGTCAAAAAAGAGTGAATCCTACATTTCCCATCATGAATCTCAACTATAACTTCAAGCCTATCAACATAATCCTGAAGATGTTCATAGACCCAGTAATTCTCTGTAAACCCAGCGGACTGCTCCTTTAAGCTGAGTGAACTGAGCCTCATTAAAAAGGCTTCAGATCCGTTCACTGTGTTTGAACTCACCAGCGGTTTGGAGTCGCTGAGGACGTGATACTGCAGGAACTGATGCAGCATGTAGAAGAGGTTGTGTTGCACCAGCGTTTTGATCACCAGCTCATACAGGTAATGCTAAAAGAAAACATACACAAAACAAAATGTAAAGTTTGTTCAGATTGAAGCAGGAAAGATTTTAAATAACTAAGATAAGGATTAATAAATTAAATATTTTTCTCTTGATCACAGTTTAAAACAAAATGAACACTTAAAAAAACACTATACAACATATAAATACACATAATTATAATCAGCATTTTAACATCAGAGATGAAGGTGACCAGAGAGGCGTCACTCTGCTCGGTTTTACCTGCACGGTGATCTGGAACTGGTTCAGAGAGCGGATGTACTCCATCAGCACCGCGATGATGAACTTATGTGACACCCCCTGCAGAATTATTATTTCACACATTCTCTTTAAAAACAGATTGAAACTAATTTACACCTGGATATTTGAAATTCTTGCTTTTCCTGCTGCAACTGCACATTTCATCTTTTTAGTATCTGATATTTAATTAAATTTAAATCATTTAAATCTGAAGAAAATCTAAGAAATAATTCAACACCAATAAAACTTTGTTGGCTTTTTTATCCCTTAAGAAAAATAAATACAGAATCTTTTTACATCAAATTACATCTCACAAATGTTGCTTAATAAATTCTGCTTGTTAGAAACTTTGTGTGTCTGAGGAGATTTTAGAAAAGAGGTTTCAAACACCAGATAATCCTTTATATCCACTAACTCACGAGTGTGTATTAGTTGTGTAAAGTGTGTGTGTTTGTTCACGTACCTTCCTCTCTGTGAAAGATGACAGGACGTGTGTGTACATGTCTGATTGGTCGATGACGGCCTGAGTTCTGACCGGACGTTTCTGAGCTGCGCTGCCTCGACTCGGACCGGACTCCATCGCCTGCAAAACGAAACACAGCGGTTTGACATGAACTAACCGAGTGTGTTTTTTAAAGATCTTTGTGTTTTTTTACTGAGCAGCCGTCTCTCACCACAGTGTAGCTCTGCTCCGCCTCCAGGTATTCCTTGTACACCTGGTTGAGTTTGTCAAAGACGGTCGCGACGACAGGAAGACTTCCCTTCTCGCCGCCCTCCAGGACTGAGCAAAGAAAAACTTCAGCTCAACAGAAACAAAACCAAACATCTGCACAAACACTCTTCAAACTTTTATGTTTTCTCTGACATTTTGTCACTTTCAGAAAATGAATCAGCCAGAATATTGATCATTGATGAATCATTTGTATTTTTTAAAGCAGAAATAACTTTCAAGTTACTGGATCCATGTGTGAAGATTTTCAGTTTTCTTTGTTTATGATTTTAAATTTAAGGTTGCTTTGAACAAAACAAACAACTTGAAGATCTCACTTTGTGTTCTTGGAAATTTCTGATATTTTATGTTTTATTTAAACCAAATCTTTGATTAATTAATTAATTAAGCAAATACTCAGCAGATTGTTTGACTCGTTAGTAGGACTGGGTGTTACAATCCCACAACAGTTACTGGGGATGCTGTTAGCAGCCACAGCTAGCTGTTGCTACCAGTACGACACGTCTTTAGTTGTTTACCTCGACGTCACTTTGACAACAAATCTTTCCTCATGTACTGGATTTATTTCCTTCATTTATTTATATTTATTATTATTTTAACACTTTATTCATTCTATTTACTGTTTCATGTCCCAGTTCCACAATGTAACTGTAAAATACATCTTCACATGTAATGACATTAAATCTCTTTCGTCCGACTCGTCCCGGAGGTTTCACAGTTCAACATCTTTTCTTTGGACGTTTTCAGTCTAACAACAGATAAAGAGACAGACACGTACTCTGAGAGCAGACAGACAGGATGACCATCTTGCAGTCTCTCCGTCGTAACAGGAAGTCCATCAGTTTGCCTTTGTCCTGCAGCAGGTTCACAGTTGGAGGCAGCTTCACCTGCAGGTACCACAGGTAACCTGACAGACACACACTGAGATATCAGCTCCAAACTGGGATGAATTATTAAATTAAATACCAGGACTGAGGAAAAAGTACAAACTCTGACAGAGCGGCTTGTTGTTGTTTGTTTGTTTTGTGTGTGTGTGTGTGTTTTCCACACCTTCACTGGCACTGATGATGATGTCAGGTTGGAAGACGCTCCAGGAGGAGGAGTCTGGAGTGATGGTCAAGGTCAACACACGGAGTCGACACAGTGAAAACCAGAAAACACAACTTGTGTTGGACGTAAAGGATACAGAGCTGACAGGGGACGGGAGGCTGAGAGGGGACGACAGCTGGTCCTGCAGAGAGACATGAGACAGAAGAGACACTCAGAGTCAAGACAAGCTACAAACTCTAAAGTGTGTGTGTGTGTGTGTGTGTGTGTGTGTGTACCTGACAGTGGGATCCTGTAGGGGTGAATGGAGCGGGCGGGTAGGACAGGCTGGTGTGTGTTGACGGCACAGTCCGGCTCTTTCAGCTTGATGTCGAAGATCAGAGACGTCTGAGACAAACACACACACAGAATAAATAACACACCTTCACACAACCACGCTGTTCAACACACACACAAACACACACTGACCTGGGAGCTCTGGTGATGAACCACCACCAGGTTGTCCACGATGTTCAGAGCAAACTTCCCCGTGGTGTTCAGCTTCAACACGTGACTCTTTTTACACGCACCCTCCCTGAACACACACACACACATACATACACACACACACACACACACACACACAGTAAATTTCTATTCAGTTTTCACTTCTGTTTCTATTGTTGAACACGGCCCACAGTCTAAACTAAACAACTAAAATTTCACTTCAACAAGTTATGTTTACATAAGCCAGTGTGTGTGTGTGTGTGTGTGTGTGTGTGTGTGTGTGTGTGTGTGTGTGTACCTTGGTAGGTGGTACAGCACCACCTCTGCACTCGGACTGTTTGCTGTTCTTGAATGATGCTTCAGATACATCACATACAGCTGACCGTAACTACAGGGGGGTGCAAACACATCGAATGAGTAACACAGGTTAGTCAAAGGTTAATGAAGGTTAAACCACCAGCAGATGGCTTACATTGTTGCCATGGCGATGTCTCTCTCCGACAGGCTGAGTTTGGCGGGTTTGGGGACGACCGGCAGCTCGATCTCAAACTTAGACATCTTGGACATGGTCCCATTCTGAAACAGGAAAATAAACACTGACCTTTGACCTTTGACCCCCAAAATCTAATCAGTTCAGTCCAGATGAACATTTTAACCAAATCTGAAGAAGTTCCTTTACGGCTTTACGGAGATATCGTGTCCAAGAGAATGAGACGGACAGACGGACAACCTGAAAACAATATGGCTGCCGCTCTGACTGTCGCCGGGCGGAGGAATAAAAATAAAAGCTACAAAGTTAAAAAATACAAATCTAAAATAATAAAGGCTCATAACGAGTCAGATGTGTCACTACAACAGGATTACACTTGAAAGTAAAACAAAATAAAATCAGTGTTTCAGACTCACCCTGAAGGCGAAGGGCTGCAGGATGTTTCCCTGCACGGTGGTGGACAGCAGGATGACGGCCGTCTCTGGACAGTACTGGTACCAGTTCACATTAATGCTCTGACTCTTCAGCAGCTTCAGACTGCGCTTGTCTGGAAACACCTGTGCACGCACACACACACACACACACACACACACACACACACACACACACACACAGGACTAAATGTCCAGAGTCGACCTTCGTCATGCATGTTCATGTGCGAGAACTGAAACTGAGTCAGACTACCTGATAAAACTCTATCCCCTGGTCGGTGATGAAGACGATCTCGTTCCAGTTGGTCCAACAGAAACCCAAAACATTTGCATTCTTCGTCTGCAGCAGAAAAAAAACAAACAAAAAAACACAAATACAGTTTAGTTACAAAACAACTCAGAAAAAAGTCACAGAGCTGCTGTGGCTTCAATTTTATTCATCTTCTTTTTCAGCTGATCTCTCCTCACAACTCACAGGGGAGAAAGTGTAACATACCTTGCATTCCTGGGTGAACTCTGTGTGCGGATAGTCGGGTATAAAGTTGATGAAATCCTACAAACAATACAGAATCAATAAGTCAATACCTCAGGAATCATTAGGTCTGGACAGGGTTTGTCCTTATATAATAAGACGAGAACAGAAGTAATTGAAGTAATCCATAATTAGTAAACCAACATTATTCCCACAGACATTTTCAAGTTTCATGAGGCTCCAGTTTAGCTGAGAAATCCTGCATCTTATGGACGTTTTCCTCTTAAATAAATCACGTTTAGTTCATTGAGGGAATCGAACACCCGACCCGACTGTTCGCGTTGTTCAGAACTCACCACAGACTTTGAGGTTCTCTGTACTGCCAAGATCTTATTTCCAATGGAGAACTTGATGCACTTCACTTCTCCTTTATCATCCATTCTGTGGAGGAACACATGGGTAATGTACATTATTACTGTCAGTGGTGGGAACTACAAGTTTGAGGTTCTTGTACTTAATTTAAGTATTTCTAATTTATGCTACTCCAATTACATTTTAGAGCCATGACTTTTTACTCCACTGCATTTATTTGGCAGCTTAAATTAACAGTTGCTTTTCAAGATTCAGATTTTACATAAGAAATCATGTGATAAGATTATAAAATACAGAAATATCTTTTATGATTGTGATTTTACTTAAATAAATGATCAGAGTAGTGGCCAACACCTTTGGATTTAGCTTTGCAAATGTTAAAGTACCTGAAGGCAACACTGCTCTTGTCATCTGGGCCTTTGACCACCACACCTGTGGCTCCCCCTGAACGCACCGCAAACACCTGCAGCCAGAAAGCAGGACATAAAATATCTAAAATTAATAACAACAAAACACCTCCACATTTCAAGAAAACTGAGCACTCTGTTGTAGCTGTGCTGCTCTCATTACAGATCACATTACAGACATGTGTAAGGAGAGGTCATGTGAATTTCAGTCTTATAGTCCGTGTTTTATCTTATTATATTTGAAATATGAAAATAAAAGGGCAAAAAACAGACTGTGTTTCATCAACTTGACCGGGAGGAATAAAACGTAGAAAATTAAAACTCTTGTAAAGTGTTGTCTTTACAATGACACCATGAACAAGTATGAGCTCCGAAGGGGTTTTAAAATGATAAAATAAATTAATCTTTAAAAATAAGCATTACAATACAAGCTGAAATTAGGACTTTTACTGTTAATACATTATTTAATGTAACATATAATGTCTACAATCCACATTTCTTTAAATTGAGAGTCTAAATATGGTTAAAAATATCAAGTAAATTATTTATTTTCTGTCACAGGTCTTCTGACCTATGACTTTATCTTAGATTATCGATTATTTTCTATTAATGACACAGCACGTGAAGCCAGCGCACTTCACAGGGAGAACATTAAAACTCATCTGATTAAATCTACAGACTTTTGTTGACATGCTTGAGACAGAATTTTCTTAAAACTAACAAACTGTCTGTTAGTTAGCTCACCACATTAGCCACATGCTAGCTAGCTCACCTGCTTGTTAGCCTCATCGAAGAAGACGTTGTTGACGCTGGAGGCGTGTTCAAACTGCACCGGGTTCTCACACAGCTCCAGGTAATGTTCCTCACTCATCCTCTCACACCTGGCCGCCACGTTTTCACAGCTTTATCCCAAGTTTGGTTCAGTTTACTTCAGTTTAGCTTCCTGTTAGCCGGGGCAGGGGAGCCGGAAGAGACGACGAGGCTTCCTGTTTCGTCCTTCAGAATAAAAGCGGAAACTTCTATTTATTAGATCTTTCGTCTTTTATGTTTTACAGATTTAATTGCTGTCGTTCGTATGTATTCTTAAATGTTGTAAAGTCTTTCTACCTTATCTAAAGTACTTCATTCATGTATTTGAGTTACCTGTAAATAATTACATGAATTTTATAAATGTGAATTATTTCCATTATTGTTTCTATGTTGTATTAACTCTTAGAATAACAACAATAATTTTATAATTATCCAAATCCTTTATTCATATTTATTTTTTTAAAACCTTCCTTTTTCACTCTGTTTTGTTTGTTTTAATCACTGTTTTCACAAAGACTGAAAAATGAAACATTTTACATGGTTAATAACATTTTTATTTTGAAGGATCTTGTAGGAAGACCCCTTTACAGATCATGTGATAGTCTGAAGATCATGTGCTCAGATTTAGCAGAAAATCAAATGAATCAGTTTCAGTTACTTTGTGCTAAAAACAATATTTAAATATTTTTGTTTTTACTTAAAGAAATCCAACAAACACTTTCCATTTTAATTTTTTAATGTCATCACTTTTCTGCACTTTTCATCAGAACATAACCACCACAAAACCAACACCAAGGGAGGCCAAAACTCTGTGCAGAGAAAAACCTCACACATTGAAAAACACACAATAATCTGCAACAGGTGACCGACCTCTCCCACGCCAGGTTTTCTGAGCTGAAGTCACACGATCAAAGAGCTACAGATCTTTGTCACTGCAAACATCAAAAACAGTCAGTCAATCTTTTACATTTAATGGCATGATGCTAGAATAACTAGTTTATTGTAATAAAATAAACTTAATTTCAAGAGTTACCAAAAGAAGAGAAGACCGAGTGCTTCTTTTACTTTGAGGAAAATAATGTTAAAGACTCACGTACATGTAGTTCCTGTCAAGAGTAAATCACATGAGTCACACATGTATTAAATACCATCAACCTTAGTTCCTCCCAGAAACACCGAGCGAGAGATGAAGACTGTGTGAAAGTGAAAAGGAAGAATAAAATAAGATTTATAATCTGGTTAAACTTGGTCAAATAATCCCCAATTTAAATTTTGCAACTTCAGGCTTTAAAATATTTAAGATCTTTTGGCTTTTGAGAGAAATAGAGAAATAAAGATAAAACTTTTATTTTCTTTAATGTGACGTATGGAAACAGCAGTGTTTTGAGTGTTGTGCTTAATCCTTCCTCTCGGTCGATGTGGTACAGATTATAAATGTTTTTAAGTATCTGGATTTATTATTAGTGTGTTGTGTTGCACCAACGTTTGTTGTAATGGGAATATGACTCCCTGCCTCAGAGTAAATATGAAACCGAATGGGGAAATAGACAGAGCGAGAAGATGAAGATGAAGACGAAGACGAAGATTCATAATGAAACTGAATTAGTGATTTTCTTTTAGGCCTAAAAAAGCAGCATCTGTATTTTGTTTTTACTATTGATATTTAACCAATTCATGCTTTTGGTATTTAGATCTATTTTAGATTATTTCACTTAAAACAAAAAAATATCATGTTACATTAGTTTCACCTGTTTCTGGTGTCTTTCTCCTGAAGTTCACATACGATATCTGCTCCTTCCTACGCCTCCCTGAAGCTACAGCCAAATATTCAAACCCAGGATATAATTCTTTCACCATTACTGTAAAAGATGTACACGTTTAGGTTTTTTTATTTTTTGCACATTTTCGACATATTTTTCCCAAAATTCGTGACACCTTTGGGTCCCTCCACTAGAATTTAAAGTAAATCTCGAGGGTTTGAACGGAGCTCAGCAGCGGCTCCAGCTGGTGGACGAGGTCCTGTGTGGAAATCTTTATGTATCTTTATGATTCTTACAAACACACACACTGTAATCAATCTCAGCTTGAGCCACAGCAGCAGGAGATATGAGATGTGGTCTCAGCTTCAGAAAACCCAGCTGGAGCCTCTCAGCGGCTCGGACGCTCCGGCTTCAACATCCAACTGGGTGAAATCATTCCTCCTGCAGCCAGGAGGAGGCGCTCCGTCGGGTGTGTGGGGTTAGTGGGTGGTGGTGGGAGGCGTTGGAGGGTGGGGGGGTGGGGGGGACGAGGTGCCAGGTCCTCCTCCTCCGTTCATCTCCTCCTTACAGCGTTTTCAACACGGCGGGATCGTGAAGAGAGAGCGAGCCGGGCGAGCGTTAGTCATCAGCGTCGGGTTTTAAAGGAGGACCGCCGTCCTCGGAGGAGAGGGGGAACGTTTTCTTCCCTCGCCTCTGAACGTGATCCTCGTTCCTCTTCTCCAACGCCACAATCTGCCGGAGAGAGGAGAGAGAGCTCGTTTAACCCGGAGTTAAATAAAAAGATATTACATATTAATTAATCAGATCATGTCGTTAATGCAGAATGTGAATTATTTTGCCTTTGTTTTGGTTTCTTACTTATTTATTCTTTACTATCTTATTGAGGTTGTGAGGCCTGATATTATAACGTCATGTGTTAAAAGTGTGTTTTGTCATGTCTTGACTGTGAGCTTCCTGAGGACGTTCACCTGCTGCGCTGCTTTTTATTTTCATACAGAAAACACATGAATCAACATTAAAAACATTAAATTTGACAAAAGTGAATAAAAAGACAAAATGAACAAGAAGATTTAATGAGTCTATAAAAGCTGTGCCAGGAGTTTTAGTGTGTCGTCTTTGTTACCTCGGCGACAAATTCAGCCTCTTCTTCTGCGCCTACAGGGATGTTCAGTCCGGTCACGGCGTTGAAAAGGTCGTACACACTCATCGCCTCGCTCACTCCTCTCTTCTGGAAAAACTGGAGCACAAACACAAACAGATATTGATTATTGCTTTTATTCTCTACAAACAGCAAAGAGCTAAAACTAAGTAACTCCCGGTATTAATTGATTTCTATATGGATAAATATACGTTTACACTTGTGGCAGCAGTGAACAAACCTGCTTCACTGAAAGATGCAGTTCATTTAATCAGTAATTTAATCTGTTTGCACCTTTTCTACTGATAATTAACGATTTCTATCTCAGTAGAAACATAAATAACAACAAACACTTAGAAACAACAAATCCATAAAAAGGACATTGTGTTGCTGGATATTAACTGATTAAATATGTTTCTCTGAGTTTAAATGACATTTATATTCTCTGTGAAATGAACTAACTCTAACTGAAACAAAATTCAAAATCTACTTTCTCAAAATGTGAAAAATAAACAAATATCTTCGTCCACAGTTGAAGCTGAACCACAGAACCAGACTACGACAACTACGTCACAACAACTAGAGATAGCACATGAAGAAGAAACTAGGCGTTACCGTGGAAACGTTCCTGCAGTCTCTGAAGAGGAACTCCAGGCCGTGAGGATGGGTGGGCTCGACGGACTGACTGACGTCTATCAGCCACACCTGCGACAGACACAAACAGAACGGAGAGAACTGTGGACTTCACATGATTCAACATGAGAACTGAAGAGAGAGGGCGAAGTAAAAGACCAATGAAAGAGGACGTTTATAAAGATGGAAGGGAGGAAGAGATGAGGAGAAGAAGGAAAGACGTACAGTCACCGTCTCACCTGTGGGAGACTTTGTTGGAGCTACTTCAGGTGTGTTTGGTCTGTAAAGGACAGATTATATATTTTCTAAAAGCTTCAACTCTCCTGATTCAGTCTTTATTCTCCTTGTTTATCTCTTCTACTGGTTCTGACTCTGTGGGTGTAAAATGTTTCCTTCAGAGGAGATCAGCGTTGTGACTGTGTTTATTTTCAGGCTTGTGTCTGGTGACAGGTTAACTGTTGTTAAGTTAATACCAATAAATGATACAAAGGAGCTCAATGTGAAGTAGAATCTATAAATAATATTGATAAATAAACACATTCTGCTCATTAATGTTCTCGATCCAGGTCTGAGTCGAGGGTGTGAGGACGGAGGATTCTGTGAGACTGTGAAGCTGCTTTAGGAAAATATTTCATACAGAATAAAACTGATTTGACTTGTTCTTGTTCTGCTGCAGTTCTGCTTTATTAGTCTGTAATAAGGGAAGGAAGAAGAGGGGAGGAAGCTGACAGAGGTGGGAAACAAGAATAAGAGAGAAAGGGAAGGAGAGAAGGATGGAGAGAGTGAGAGCAGGAGGCAAGTTCACAAAGATAAAAAGGACAGAGGAAACAATGAACGAAAGAAGAGGAAGAGTTAAAGAAAAACTGTCTCACCTTCCCTTCGTGCCACAGCATGTTGTATTCACTGAGATCAGCATGGACCAGGTTACACTCCTGAAACAGCTGCTGCATCATCTGCAGAGAAAAGCAAAGAGTTAGAGAACATATTAAAACTAATGATATTAATAATGATAATAAGTCATTTAACACTTGAACTGTTATCTCTGCTGTTTACGAGCATTTGTTGACAAAATAAAGAAATAATGAATAACAGCTGTTGTTGCTGTCAGTGCACGTACATGTAGGACCTGGTAGTAGGCGTTCTTCATGTCCTCGGAGCCCAACTTGGCGTCTTTGAGTTTGGGAGCGGGAACGTGGTCTTTACCGATGAACGACATCACCAGGATGTGTTTCTTCAACAGCACCACCTCCGGACAGGGGATCTCCGCCTTCTTCATCCTGGACACAGAAACGTTTTTTTATTTTACCACAAACGCCACGTTAGTTTCCATGAGCTGTAAAACCACGCTGCTTCAGCATCAGGTTACAAACAGACAAGAGGCTTGTTTGTGGACGAGGTGGCACCTGAGTGCTCCGACGTCACCGTGTTGGTTACCTGGTCAGGTTGTGCATCTCCTTCTCGGCCCACAGCCTGATGATTTTGCGCGGGTTCAGTTTGCTGAATCTGTCTATGAAGCGATAGTCGTCTTTGATGTAGCGGTCTCTGTTCTTGAACTCGTTGAGCGTCGTCTTGAACACCTTCAGCACCACCTCGTCCGGGACCGGCTGCTCCTCCAGGCTGAAACACAGACAGGTTTCCACGTGTTGTTTGTGTGTTTGTTTCCCTCTCAGAGTTTCTGCAGGTTCACAGAGTTTAACTTACTAACACAACAGGAAACTTTTCAAGACTTTCCACTTTCACCTGCAGAAACCTTGTACAGGTGTTTGCTCATCTGAGCGCCTCCTCCCATCCCTCTCTTCCTCCCTCTCTCTACTCACCTCCCTCCGTCAGCGTGGAAGACGACGGACTCTTTCCCGGTGCTGATGCAGCCGTTGATGTGTTCCAGCACGCCGGCGTTCACCATCTTATACATCAGCAGGCGAGTGCGAGGGTCCACTGCTTGTTCCTGAGGAGAGAGGAGTGTTTTATTATTATCATTCCCGATCTGAGTGTTTGATCGTCGTGTTGGTCTGAATATATGATTATATGATTATACTGAATATACGCACGGCGGTGGAGTGCTCCTTCTTCTCGTGCAGCCTGGAGCTGCGTCTCTGCTCGCTGTAGCAGTGCTGCTTCAGAGAGTTGAACACCTGGTTGGACAACTTCAGGTCCATCCCCAGACCGTCACCCACGTGGACCTCAGGAGCAAACTGCAGGAGAGGGTGTAAAAACAAGAAGACACCTGAATGTGTGTATGTTTTCTACATATACAGAAGCAAAAAGTGTGATGTCAATTTAAATTAAAAAAGAAGTTTCAGGCCTTTTAATGGAGGAACAACAGTAAACATAAGCAGTATATTAATGAATATAAACGTGAGTGTGAGACTGTCTTACATTGTCCATGCGAGCAGTGTTCTTACGTCCACACATCACCTCGTCGTGTTTGGTGGTGATGTTCTTTCCTTTCCCAGTGAAGCCTTTCCTGGGCGTGGTCTGAGGCTTTTCTGAGTGATCACACACACACACACACACACACACACACACACACACACACACACACACGCTGGGTTGCAGTTGCTGCCGGGTCAGTGATGATAGTGAAAGCACAGAGGGAGAAAACTCACACTTACCTGCTCTGTAGGGGTCGTGTCTCGTGTCCTGCCAGTCCACCTCGTCCTCCGAGCTGTCGCTGTCTTCATATGGATGGACCATCCTGTAGTTCTCAAAGGAGATGGACACTGGACACAAAACATTAAAACACAGTGTCACTAACTTTAACTCTTGTTTTAATCAGCTACAGTCTCTGTGTGTCTGTGTGTAACGGCTGTGTGTCCCAGACTGTTGCGTTTCTACCTTTGCTGTCTCCGTTGAACTTCTTCTCCTCGCGGCGGAGCTGATCGTCAAACTCGCGGTCGAACTGCATCTGCAACATCTGGGCGAGCATCAGGTCACTGGTCGTATCCGAAGTCTCGTCCGACAGCAACAGGTCTGATCCAGGCCTGAGAGAAAATATCATATATGACATGAATAATTAATCAGCTTCAGTTTAATGAAACATTTCAGACCGAAAACTGCAACAGCAGAAAGACTGTAACTACTTATTTTCATTATCGAATATATTATGATGATATCATGATATTTAATCGACTGTTTTGTCAATCCAACTGATCATTGGTCCAAATCCAAAGATAATGAGTTTACAGTGACATGACAGAAGATGATGAGCTGGAACCTGCGAATGTTTGGCAGAGATGCTTAAAAAAAAGGTTTAAAATCATTTTTCAGTTACAAAATCTTTTCATTGAAATAATCTTTCCTCTGTATGTCATATTTATTATTATTTTCTTGTCCTTTATTTGACTTTTACTTATAAAAGATAAAACTCAAATTCAATTTATTAGAGGTGATGAAGACACACACACACACACACACGCACACACACACACACACAGGTGAACTTACTCAGTGAGAGTAGGGAAGGTGTTGTTCTCCTCCTCCAGCTGTCTGGCCAGCTGTTCACTCATTACATCAGCCAGTGAGCAGGCCGGAGCTGCCGGGGTCACCGAACCCCACGGGCTCTGCAACACACACACACACACACACACACACACACACACACACACACACACACACACACACAGGGATTATTATCAAGATATATGTTCATGCACTGATCTCATTCTCCTGCTACTTTCCTGATACACGGCCGATGTGGAGTCCTGATCTCATACCTACGTGAAACTCATTAAAATCATCTTTTATGGAAGGTAACATGAAATAAAACAATGGATAAAGCTGAGACTTGGGACTTTAATGTAGTTTAATTACTTTATTTCAGATTGAATGTGCTGAAGCTCAGAGCCTGAAGAACAAGAAACTGTGAACGTACTGGATTTCAGTTCTTCATCTTGTAGCCCAAACTTTTGCACCTGCTACCCTAAAGTTTTATTTCTATCTGTTAAGTTCATTAAATAAAAAAGTTAAACAGCATTAACATCTGAAAAAGCTCATTGTTAATATCTGATTGCTGCAGGGGTTGGACTTCCTTCTTTTCGCCTTGTCAGAAAATGTAATTTCCACAAACTTTTTGGATCCAATTATAACCTGTGATGTTCACAGTGAAACTCGGTTGTAATTAAACCACTGACTCATTAACAAAAAAAAAAATGAGACAAGTTCAGACATGTCATGAGGTGAGTGCCTCCTCCAGGATCGTGACGTAAATTTAGGATCCGCCCACAATATTTGGGATATATTATTTATAATTACAATATGTACCTATTTATTTTCAAAAAATATGATTGTACGGACAAATTAAACATCAATATGATGGTAATTATATGTGGTAAAAACTAATATCTACTGTCTGTAAACTGACATTTTACCCTTTAAACTTAAAAATATACAAGTTGTTTTACAGTCGGAACAATAATTTCCTATTATATTATGTTTTAATAACGGTTTCCAGAGCATTAAAGACGTGTGTGGAAGCAGATTTAAGGCTGAGATGTTACAGAAATAGAAACAGTCTTCATTCAGTCATGGCCATATTGGATAACGGCTAGCATTAGCAGCTAACACAAGTTTCGTGGAGTTAAAGAAAATGAACAAGACACAACACAACAAGACACATAACCAAAGAGCTTCTTACCTTTGGTGTTTCTGTCGTGACTCCTGTTCGATCCATGATTGTGATAACAACTATTCGATTCTTTCTTCGAGGAGTGAATGGTGGCTAGCCGCTGAGCTAACGTTAGCACGATCCCAAGGGGGCAGATTTGGCGACGAAAAAGTGCTGAAAATGAGACAAATAACGAGGTCCAGCGACGTGACACGTCCAGGAAACCGTTTAATAAGATTCGGTGAATATAAAAAAGGCAATGTACAGGTCAGTAACAAAGGTTTTCTTTAATTAATCTAGATTTAATCTGAGGTAGCGCAGCTATCTTTTAGGAGCTTCCCTGCAGTGAACCTTGGCACAACAGGAAATACGTCACTGTACGCTTTCACAATAAAAGTATCCACGCTGGGTTTTTTTTTTAAAAGGTCTTTTATTGAGCTTCCCTGAAACACGTGACAGAAGCTGACAGATTAATTAATTATTTCGATCGAAAAAAATATTCTGATAATCAATTAATCATTTGAGTAATTTTTCTTGCAAGAAAATAAAACAACAATTAATTAATCGATTGAATTGACAGAAATCTGTCAACAATTTTCATAATCAGCTAATTATTCAAATAAATTATGAAGCATAAATTAAATAAAAGTGAGGTTCTAGCTTCTTCCAGAGGTTTTTCTGTTTTTGTCTGTTTCATATGATTGTAAACAAAACATTTCTTGGAAATCATGAAAGGCATTTTTCACAATTTCTGACATTTTAAGGGTTTATATTCTATATAATATAAATGTATTTATTTAAATATATGTAATATAATAATAATAATATAATATGTGACATAAATCAAGCATAAACACATTTATAATATATATAATAAATGTAAAAGAAAATACATTCAAGCACTGTGCTTAATAACAGCATTTATCTTGTATTTAGCCGACTTTATATACACATGCGTGTGCCCGTGTGCTCGCAACAGCCTGTGCGCGTACAACCTACAATCTGTCCAGGTTGGCTCGTGAACGCGCACGGCCGTGAGCTGCTGTCACAGAGGCAGGGGCGTCCAGGTGAGTAAAGTCCGTCACTCTTAAACAGGAATCAGACCGGAAACCGGTAGAATCTGGCTTCAAAATAAAACTATGGGCTAGAGTCGGCGTATTACATGTGTGTTTTAAAACTAGTCCTCATTAAATTTAGAAGTTTTATTTAAGAAATAAAACAATCAGTTATGGCTTAACAATTGAACAAATTAACAATTAACAAAGAGAATAATTGAGCATGAAAAAAATGGTTAATTCCACCCCTTTAATTATTCAAGAAACTTTACAGCACAGTTTTATACATAATGATAGGCTATAATAAATGTATATATGTATATACATATATAAGTAAATGTATATGTGTATAGATGTATATGCTGGTGTAGGTTTGCCCTGTTCCTTTTTATACATTTTCTATATAGCTTAATCAGCAAGATTAAAAACTGTATAAAAAGCTCTTATAAATAAAATCCTCCCTGTGCAAAATTAAACCTTGAGTGTATTTTCAATATTACCTATTGATAGGCAGGTTATCTCTGCCAATAGACATGTAAACATAACTTCCATCAATGTCAAATACAAATCTATAAAATACTAAATACTGTAAATAGATGTGTATACATACATAAACTATGTGTATATAAAGCAAGCTGTATTTATTCAGGCACTCTTGGCACTATTGTATTCATGTCTGGGTAACTTGGATTTTATTTTGAAGGTGCCAACAGGAAGCGGTGCTGTTAATTGTGAAACCTTGACAGTTTGGGAGCATCCTGACGTCTTCTCGGAGCACAAAGTGAAAACGCATCTCCTCCTCCTCCTCCTCCTCCTCACACGTTACGATGCCCACACGGATCCACAAGGACAGGCTTTAATCATCTCTGACGCCTTCAGGGACTTTTATTTTTTATTTTTTTCCTGCTCCTTTGATTTTTAATGTGGACGGGAATCTCTTTTGTCCGCGGGATACCGATGGCCACCACCGCCGCCACCGTCCTCAGCATCAGCATCACCTCCACCGAAGGGCCGTCGGGCCAGCCTGGACGGCCGGGATTCAACCAGCACACCTAGCAGGTCGCTCCACTGTGAGTATTCACATCCTCCCTCTATTCAAACACCGCGGAATAAAAACCAAACACACATGAAGGCTTGATCCCAGCTAGATGTGCTGACTTCTGGAGGATGCTCCTCAGTCTTTGCCTCCTCGTGAGGACATCAGATGAAACAGGGGTCACTTTGATCATCCATCTGACAGGAATCTGAGTCTTTAGCTCAATCTGAGAGGCTCTACGTCACACTTTAACCTTTTCTCTTCAATGTAATATCTCCATCCTGCATCGTCCGGGCTGCTCGCACTCTTTTATTCCTCCTTCATGTTTGATCTCAGGGGGAAGTAGTAAAATCCAGCCCTGTGGGACCTTTAAGTGTCTCTGCTTTTTCATTATGCTGTCTCAGTGGACGGACAGATTGGGCCACATCTGACACAATTAATGTGAACGGCAGATGGGGACGAGTTGGGGGCAGGGGGGGTGGGGGTGGGGGTGGGGGGCTGTAGTGGGTGGGTAAGGGGTCAACTGCTGGTCTGACCAACCCCCATAGAGATAAAAATAAAGAACATTACTTATCAGAGGCAGGGGACACAACAGGCATCAGAAGCAACAGCTGTGCAATAAATTAATAACGTCACAGGACAAACTATAATATAATACATTTATAATACTAATATATCAATAATGATTCATGTATAAACTATAATAAAAGGCACGTGTCGTTACAGAGAGTGTGCAGCATGTGAGCAGCTCTAAGGTTGAGCTAAATGCTAACATCATTAGCTCTGCAGGTATTTGGTCTTAAACTAAAGAAGTGGACGGTTTTAAACTGTGTCCTGGTGATGGCGCTAAATGAAAAGTCAGAGGGTCACGAGTTATTGCTGCTCGTCCTGAGGGGAACGTAAATGTCTGCGCAAAATTTCACAACTGGCCATCCAGTAGTTTGTGGTCGTTTTGTGTCTCTTTGTTAGTTTTGTGTCTTTTAAATCAAATTTTCGTTTTTCTGTCTCTTTGTGGTTGTTTTGAGTCAGTTGTCATTTTGTGTCTCCATTTGGAAGCTTTGTGCGTCTTTGTGGTTGTTTTGTGTCTCTTTGCTTTTGTCTTTTTGCCTCTTTGGGATTGTTCTGAGTCTTATTTATACTTTTAACTGAGCTCTATGATATATTTCAGACAGAGGTCCTGACCTCACGTCCTTATATTTCACTTTTTCCTCCCATTAAATATAGTTTCATTTCGTCTGTCCTCTCTTGTAGGTTGAGAAATCCCACGTCGGACCGAGTTGCCTTAACTGACCTCTGACCTCTGGCGGGGGGTCGTGACCACCAGGACTCGTTTGTATTCAAGCCTTCAGCTCTGGCCTCATCATGACGAAGCAGAGAGTCGACGACACCGACTGATGATCCTGAAACCAAAATCTGCCGCCGTCAAACAACCATGACCGAGCTCAGGAGGAGGAGGGAGCTGCCAGACGCTCAACGGGAAGACAATTAGGGCAAAAAGGATGTGAATTCTGTCTTTTCTTCATCAACCCACACATGACTGATATTTTCTGATCGCCTGAGACGGACTGAACATCTCGATCGATGACCAAAGTGCAGGGACTTCCAGCTTCTGAGCAGCCGACAATGTAGAAGAAGACAGCGGAGACGATTGTCCATTCAGTTTGTTTCTCTTGTTTCTCCAAACCATTGAAAAATAAACCCAGCAGTGACGGTGCCGTGAACTTTACAGCATCCATAAAGACGACCATGATTGTCTCTTACTGACACGACACCTGTAAACTGTTTGTCTTTTTGTAAACGTGACATCAAAGACGTCACAAACACAGACAGCAAATAAGATTGTGTCACAGGTAAAAAAAGGGCAAACACTCGTTTTTCTAACACAAACTAATGATTGAAACAACTGAGCCACTAAAGACTCAACAACTAAACTAAACTGATCATTTGGAACTACGTCTTCGAATTTCATACAACCACCTGGACACAAAAGGTGTTTAAAAAAAAAAAACAGACTCACCTGTTGATCCTGTCAACCGTCAGGTGGTACAGGTACATACATCACCATGACACACCTACACGCCGGCCTAAGCTCCGAGACGACGGAGAAAGCTCGTTTGGAGCTGAACGAAAACCCGGACACTCTGCACCAGGACATCCAGCAGGTATACAGCTACAGCACACACCTGTGTGAACACACCTGTCTGAACACACTGGACGTGAAGCAGGGATGTTGCAGTTCATTGTTGCCGTTTTAACCCGTTTTCTTTTGATTTCTTGTATAAAGCTCCTCCAGTGTAAAGGTCTGTGTCCATGTGTAGTGTGATTATAGATCAGCTCTAGCTTCTATATTAATACTGTGAAAGTATCAAAGCCTCAGTCCACAGAGAAATGCACACAGCCTGTATTCAGAAACTGAGCCTTAAAACCAGCCGTCAGGACTTCTGGAACTTTGTGATGTCACAACAAAGCAGTCACCAAGCCCCGCCCACCTGGACCCACCATCCAAACCTTGCAGGATTTGGTTTCTCTGAGTGTTTTTACCTGAAATCTGCTATATTTTTATTGGATCACTCAGAAAACAGTCAGCCAATCAGAAGAGAGGCTCAGAGCCTCCTCTCTTCTGATTGGCTCACTGACCTGTTGTTACTAGAGCTCCAGAGAGAAGCCTGAGAGAGGAGATGTAAAACTACACTGAGATGGTTTTTATATCTTCTGATGGATCAACACTTCAAATAAAACACAGAAGAAGAAGAAAATATGGAGCTTTAATGTTTATGTGGTTTGAGCTTTGCTTTATATTAGAAAATTAAATTCAAAAACTGATGAATGTCACACAGGACTGCAGATGAAGACAGAAGGAAAAGTTGGGTGGGTTCTTAAATTAACACAGTTTGATCCAACAGCCCGACAAGTTTCCAACTGAATCCTGCTTCATCATCACTCACTCACCTGACGTGTCTCACATATTACATCATGCACCTGCAGGTGTCAGGTGGAACACGACCTTCTCATCCACTGTGGCTCAGACTGAACCTCGTTTCCACGTCACTTCGGACAAAATGAAGATTTATAAATGTAAATGTGAGACGAGGCTCCGACTCACAGTCGTCTGAAGATGCAACAACATCTTTACTTTGAGCATCAGTCCAAACACTGATCAATTATTGTTTCGTGCTGTTGTCGGACGATTAATGAGCCATGAGATGAAACAGTTTTGTATCTCCCTGCTGTTCTCTCCTCTAAACATGAGCGTTCATTTCTCACGTCCCCGACCTGAATGACGTTCTTCTCTCTCATGTTTCTGAATCGAGGTGCGGGACATGATCGTGACGCGGCCTGACATCGGTTTCCTGCGGACGGACGACGACTTCATCCTCCGCTTCCTGAGAGCCAGGAAGTTCGACCAGGTGGAGACGTTCAGGCTGCTGGCCCAGTACTTCCAGTTCAGGCAGCAGAACCTCGACATGTTCCAGAGCTTCAAGGTCGGCGGCTCTGAGTCAATGTTGATGGCTGTGATGTTTGGGTGTCTGCAAACTTTTGGCCACGTAGTGTGTATTTAAGGTGAATCAAAGTGTGTGTGTGTGTGTGTTCAGGTGGATGACCCTGGTATTAAGCGAGCGCTGATGGACGGTTTCCCGGGCGTGTTGGAGACTCCAGATCAACATGGTCGAAAAATCCTGATCCTGTTCGCCTCCAACTGGGACCAGAGCAGGTAACACACACACACACACACACACACACACACACACACACACACACAC